GATCCGGAACTGACTTTAGGTGCTTGTCCAGTGCCAGCTTGAAGACTGCCAGGGGTCTGTTGGTAATCCCCCTTATGTGTGCTGGGAGGCAGTTGAACAGTCTCGGGCCCCTGACACTTATTGTATGGTCTCTTAACGTGCTAGTGACACCCCTGCTTTTCATTGGGGGGAGGGTGCATCGTCTGCCAAGTCTTTTGCTTTCGTAGTGGGTGATTTTCGTGTGCAAGTTCGGTACTAGTCCCTCTAGGATTTTCCAGGTGTATATAATCATGTATCTCTCCCTCCTGCGTTCCAGGGAATACAGGTTTAGGAACCTCAAGCGCTCCCAATAATTGAGGTGTTTTATCTCCGTTATGCGCGCCGTGAAAGTTCTCTGTACATTTTCTAGGTCGGCAATTTCACCTGCCTTGAAAGGTGCTGTTAGTGTGCAGCAATATTCCAGCCTAGATAGAACAAGTGACCTGAAGAGTGTCATCATGGGCTTGGCCTCCCTAGTTTTGAAGGTTCTCATTATCCATCCTGTCATTTTTTCTAGCAGATGCGATTAAATACAATGTTATGGTCCTTGAAGGTGAGATCCTCCGACATGATCACTCCCAGGTCTTTGACATTGGTGTTTCGCTCTATTTTGTGGCCAGAATTTGTTTTGTACTCTGATGAAGATTTAATTTCCTCATGTTTACCATATCTGAGTAATTGAAATTTCTCATCGTTGAACTTCATATTGTTTTCTGCAGCCCACTGAAAGATTTGGTTGATGTCTGCCTGGAGCTTTGCAGTGTCTGCAATGGAAGACACTGTCATGCAGATTCGGGTGTCATCTGCAAAGGAAGACACGGTGCTGTGGCTGACATCCTTTCTATGTCGGATATAAGGATGAGGAACAAGATGGGAGCGAGTACTGTGCCTTGTGGAACAGAGCTTTTCACCGTAGCTGCCTCGGACTTTACTCTGTTGACGACTACTCTCTGTGTTCTGTTAGTGAGGAAATTATAGATCCATCGACCGACTTTTCCTGTTATTCCTTTAGCACGCATTTTGTGCGCTATTACGCCATGGTCACACTTGTCGAAGGCTTTTGCAAAGTCTGTATATATTACATCTGCATTCTTTTTGTCTTCTAGTGCATTTAGGACCTTGTCGTAGTGGTCCAATAGTTGAGACAGACAGGAGCGACCTGTTCTAAACCCATGTTGCCCTGGGTTGTGTAACTGATGGGTTTCTAGATGCGTGGTGATCTTGCTTCTTAGGACCCTTTCAAAGATTTTTATGATATGGGATGTTAGTGCTATTGGTCTGTAGTTCTTTGCTGTTGCTTTACTGCCCCCTTTGTGGAGTGGGGCAATATTCTTGGTTTTTTCAGTTTGTGGGTGCCCAGAATCTGAGAGAGTGTTTTCCAGGTCTTTTTTGTCTCCTCTTGTGTCAGTGAATCTGCTGGAGTAGTACAGCTGTTTGGCTTTCTTTGTTACTTTGGTGAGAACTGATGAATAGTGTTTAAGAATACAGTGGACCCCCGCATAACGATTACCTCCGAATGCGACCAATTATGTAAGTGTATTTATGTAAGTGCGTTTGTACGTGTATGTTTGGGGGTCTGAAATGGACTAATCTACTTCACAATATTCCTTATGGGAACAAATTCTGTCAGTACTGGCACCTGAACATACTTCTGGAGTGAAAAAATATCGTTAACTGGGGGTCCACTGTACATCTTTATGTACTAAGCCCTGTTTATATTGCTTTTCATATTGGTGTTTCTTGTCAATGGATTTTAGAATGCTGCTGGTTAGCCATGGGCAACCGAGCCGTTTATTCGTGATCTGTTTCATTTTTATAGGACAATGCTTGTTGTATAGTCTAAGTAATTTGTTAAGAAAAATGTCTGTCCAATCATCAATACCATTGGCCTTGGAGAATTCTGTAGGCCAGTCAACAGTCTCTAAGTCTGCTGTGAACTTCCTTATTGAGGCCTCATCATGGAGTCTAAATGAAACTTTGTTGTATTCCAGTGGTGGTTTACTAATGTTTGTTAAGAGGAAGGTAGGGTAGTGGTCTGTAGTGCTGTCTGTGATTATCCCTGATTTAACCCTTAAATGGTCCAAACGCATATATACGTTTTTTCAACATCTGAAAGTATGTAAAAAATGTAGATCTTCTTTTTTGTTTTACATTTGAAAACGTGTAAAAAAACTTTTATGTACATTTTTTTTATTATATTTGAAAATATGTAAAAAAAAGTAGATCTACTTTTGTAGCACTACGAATTTGAACGTCGATCTGTTTGGACCGTTTAAGGGTTAAGGGGGGCTAGTATATTGGTCCATATGTGGTCTATTATGGTTGCACTTGTCTCTGTGTGCCTGGTTGGTTTAGTTATTGTTGGTATGAGAAATGTGTTGTTCATATTGTTGATGAAATCAGTTACAGGCTGATCATCTAGTAGGCCAAGGTTGATATTGAAGTCTCCAGCTAAGAGAAGGTGGTGCCTGTTCATTTGTCTGTTTGTTATTAGTGCCTTTATGGTAGTAATATGGCACTTGGGGAATGGGAGGCAATCAGGTTTAATCAAAGGAAAGTTAATTACACTTCCCTGGATTAAAAGCCCTTCACCAGCTCCAAGGAACCTCCCTTGAGTGGTACCCCAAACGGCACTTCTTGCTCTTTTCCACTGTCTCATCTACCCTTACCTCACCTATGGTATTTGTGCTTGGGGTTCAACCACAGCTAATCACCTTAAACCTTTAATAATCCAACAAAAAGCTGCTGTGAAACTGATTACAAACTCCTGCGCCAGGCAACACACCCAACCGCTATTTAAAAGTTTGAACCTTCTTAACATACAAAATATTCACTCACATTATTGTGCCTACTACATACACAGAGCATTATTCTCCAATATTATCCCTCCTCTCAAACTCCTGGAGTATACCTGGAGAGAGTTCCGGGGGTCAACGCCCCCGTGGCCCGGTCTGTGACCAGGCCTCATGGTGGACCAGAGCCTGATCAACCAGGCTGTTTCTGCTGGCTGTACGCAATCCAATCTACGAACCACAGCCCAGCTGGTCAGGTACCGACTTTAGGTGCTTGTCCAGTGCCTGCTCGAAGACAGCCAGGGGTCTATTGGTAATCCCCCTTATGTATGCTGGGAGGCAGTTGAACAGTCTTGGGCCCCTGACACTTAATGTGTTGTCTCTTAATGTGCTAGTGACACCCCTGCTTTTCATTGGGGAGACGTTGCATCGTCTGCTGAGTCTTTTGCTTTCGTAGGGAGTGATTTTCATGTGCAAGTTTGGTACTAGATCACTCCCAGGTCTTTGACATTAGTTTTTCACTCTATTGTGTGGTTGGAATTTGTTTTATACTCTGATGAAGTTTTAATTTCCTCATGTTGAGAGCTACAACAGAATGTATTTGCATAACACAAGACACAAAACACTCTTTGATATCCCTTGAGTCCATCTCTATGCAAAAATGTTATGCACATAAAGGGCCCTAAGATCTGGAATTCATTGCCTGAACTTATAGAAGAGCCCCTGCTGCCTGCACACCAATTCAAGGCTCTGCTCAGAAATCACCATCTCCCAAAATTAACTACACAAACACTATATATTACTGCCACCAACAACTTAAAAATTCCTAAATATTTTAAGATTATTTTAATATTAAAATGGTTCCAATCTCATGTAAAATGTGCCAAAATATAATACTATATCCTGTTAATCAATTCATGTCAATTATAAATTCAATTACTGTTAAACCACTAACCACCGCTGTTGAATTATAAAAAAACTATGTTCAATTCAAACCAACTATGTTAAATATCCCCAGTATTAAGTATTCTGTTAAGCATTAGGTTTAGTCTGCTCGAAATGCTCCAGTACTTAGCAAATCAAAATTGTAATTACACATTGTACTCTTTACAAAGAAATAAAATCTATCTTTATGTTTATCCAAGGAAGAAAATTGAAGCTCCAGCTTCTTGGATCAAGAGCCCTTCAACAGCACCAAGGAGCCCCCTTTGATGGGAAGGCATGAAGAATGAATGGCTGCTGATTCCATGGTACTCACTGGAAATTGTAAGCCACTTTATTAAATGCTTTCTGTAACTAAATAAAGGTCATGTGTATATTGTGCTCCAGAGATGTGTAGCTTCTCGAGCCTTTTTAACTGCATATTATTGATATCAATGTTAACTGTATTATGTGGTATCTACATCATAGCTCAATCGCTAGCGCACTCAGCTCACAAACTGAGGTCTGGGGACTGATCCCCCGGTACGGCTGCAAACATTAGGACACGTTTCTATAAGTCATCTGCTGTCACAGTTCACCATCAGTATAAAATGGGTACCTGGGTGTTAGTGGACTGGTGTGGGTCGCATCCTGGGTGTTAGTGGACTGGTGTGGGTCGCATCCTGGGTGTTAGTGGACTGGTGTGGGTCGCATCCTGGGTGTTAGTGGACTGGTGTGGGTCGCATCCTGGGTGTTAGTGGACTGGTGTGGGTCGCATCCTGGGTGTTAGTGGACTGGTGTGGGTCGCATCCTGGGTGTTAGTGGACTGGTGTGGGTCGCATCCTGGGTGTTAGTGGATTGGTGTGGGTCGCATCCTGGGTGTTAGTGGACTGGTGTGGGTCGCATCCTGGGTGTTAGTGGACTGGTGTGGGTCGCATCCTGGGTGTTAGTGGACTGGTGTGGGTCGCATCCTGGGTGTTAGTGGACTGGTGTGGGTCGCATCCTGGGTGTTAGTGGACTGGTGTGGGTCGCATCCTGGGACAAAATTGACTTAATTTGCCCAAAATGCTCAGCATAACAAGCGACTTTCTATATAGTAGTATGTCACTGATGTCAGCTATGGTCTGTATACCTTGTATATGTACTTGTAGAATATAAAGATGATATTATTATTATTATTATTATTATACTAGGTGAGCAGGGTCAGCAGGTGAAACATGCTCCCAAAATAAGTCATGCTCTTACCAATGCTGATCACATGATACTAACCTCTTACCCGTACCAATCAGATATGTATTGGTACCTTGTAAAGTCATAGGTCCTGGGTTACACCCTAAGATACGAATAATTCGGGGTGTAATAGGCGTTATCTTCGCAATAAAGGCTGCCATTGTTGTAGTAGGGGATTATTCAAGGCCACCAAAGGTGTCGCACTAAGATAAGATTTCTTCGGATTTTTAACCCGGAAAGTTAGCCACCCAGGATAACCCTTTAAAGTCAAACAAATAAACAACTTTTATTTCTATAAAGTGGAATACAGTATATTATACAATTAATGTGACTGACATATAAAAATTACAGAAAACCACTTATTATGAAAGGCATTTCGAGCAACCTTTAAACTAAATTATGATACTAGTATATGATAACATGAATACACAATTTTTATTATATTGGAGGCATCCAGTAATTGCGGAAATTTATTAGGAAAAAAAATTCCACGGCCAAATTCGACGTAAATAATTTGATGCCGCAGTCGTGGGGACTTGAAACATCCCAAACAAAGTCAGACGAAGTGACTTATTTCCACTGGGGTCCTTTTAATACCTTGTTATACTATGAAGGAGATAATATCCTATTATTATACAATAAAGGAGATATACTAGGAATAAGGTAAAAAGAGTTATTTACATTTATATGTGTGTTAGGTAAAAAAATAAAAAAAATCATTCTCCTCCCTTTCTGTCGCTACATTCATCAGACACCTTTTGGCACTCTTCTTGAACTGGTTCATGCTATGACTGGCTTTGACATGTGCAGGTAGTCTGTTCCATTCCTTTATTGCTGTACAATAAAAGGTGTTTGAAGCCTGGCCACTGACTGTGACTACTACAAACTTAAAGATAAGAACTTTATTTTGACATGATACATTGTTGTACAAAGGAATATAATAGTTCGGTGTACATGCCAAAAGCAAATTTGTATTTATTTATTTATTTGAACATAATACAGAGAAGTACAAGGAATACAATTTTTAAAGTGTAACATGCCAAAGCCCCTTGTATGCAGAGCATTATGGGCAGGCTTAAAATTAACTTAAGATTAATTAAGCAATGATATATTCAGTGGTACAAAAATTATTGTAAAACAGATAACAATTTAGTACAAATGAGTATTACAAAGACAGGTCATATGGTCATTTAATGTGTTGCTGTGTAACCAGTAGAATGGAGTATTCTGTTAGGTAATGAAGTTAAATAGTAACAAAGTTTGATTGTCACAGGTTGACATTTATGAGATACAATAATGATGTGGAAAATACTGTATATATTTTCCAGAAATTCAGTATTTATATGTAAATAGATGGCCATACTGTATTTAATAATATTTGTCATAGAAAACAGAAAGCCTGCGTCTGCGCAGAGGGGACTCGCCATCTTGGTTTTGAATTCAAAGTTTATTCTCTATAAGGATTACAATGCTGAGTTTACAGAAATTTGGTTATTGTTTGGTTTACATGTAGTAAAATTGTGATTACAGAGTTACAGATTACAGAGTTAGTGTAATGGGAAGGAATTTTCGTGCTCTATAGGTTAAAATTGGGCTGACACCTCTCAAATAGGAGGCGAAATTGTTGGACATGCATTCCTGCATAACTTGACATATCAGACGACTGGACAAGACAGCTCCAGGAACCTCAGATAAGCTCTCTAGATTTGTGTATAATTCTGGCCAGTGTTTTCATAAATTTAGTTAGTGAGGTTTTTCTGAGTATGATACATCTTAATATCCAGTCAAATTGGTGAGTGATATTAAGATATATTTTCCTTCTTTTATGTAATTGTGTATATATATATAACCATTTATTTTTAATATACGGTCCACAAATTTATATATTTACCAGTATTCCTGGTGTATGTATATTTCATTTAATTAATAGGTCCAGAGCAACTTGTGGTTATGACAGTTGTAGGTATCGAAGGGGGACATTTTTTGCGACCTAAGTGTCCCAAATTTCTACTTGTCTAACTGATAAATAATAGTTATCATTGTTCATTTACTGTTATGTATATAATTATACATCCAAGTAAATGCAATTTTCCACAAATGAGATACATATTTGAGATACAATTTAAGAGATACAATTATTCAGTATTTATTTAGTTGTGGGTAAGTGATTTTTGAGAAGAGACTTGAATTTATAAACAGTGTTTCTTTTATAGTCACAGGTAATGAATTCCAGATTTTAGGGCCTTTTATGTGCATTGAGTTTTTGCATAGTGTGAGATGGACACGAGGAACATCAAAGAGTGATCTGTGTCTTGTGTTATGGTCATGTGTTCTGTTGAGGTTGGTAAGATGTTTGAGGGGAGGGTTTATGTCAGAGTTAAGTGTTCTATGTATGTAGTAGGTGCAGTAATAAGTATGGATGTTTTGTATTGTGAGTAGGTTTAGAGTTTTCAGTATTGGTGAAGTGTGCTGTCTGTAGTGGGAATTTGTTATCATTCTGACTGCAGCCTTTTGTTGGGTGATTAGTGGTTGAGATGGTTTATTGTTGTTGAGCCCCATGCACAAATTCCATAGGTGAGATATGGGTAAATAAGCGAGTGATATAGGGCCAGGAGGGCTGATTGTGGAACATAGAGTATCTTCGATAGTATGCCTACGGTCTTGGAAATTTTTTTGGAAATTTGTTGTATATGTGTTTGAAATTTGAGTCTATTATGAAGGTGGATTCCTAAGAATTTCCCCTCTGAGTTTTGTGATAGGTGATCCATTTATCATTATGTTAAGAGACACATCTGTAGCTCTGTTACCAAACTGAATGTAGTAGGTTTTGTCAATGTTTAGAGTAAGTTTGTTAGTCCTCATCCAGGTTGATATTTTCTGTAATTCGGTATTTACAGTCAGGGTCGGATTAAGTCTCCGGGCCCTAGGCTATTCAGATTGGCGGGGCCCCTTTGAGTTACGGGTAAGCGAAGCGACCCCTTCCAGCTTGGGGGTGGGTGGGGGGGGGTCGGTGTGAGCCTGTTTAAGGTCTAATTAAATACATTCTGGCTATTTAGATTAAATTTAATAGGGAAAGTACATCAAGACAACCAAAACCATTTACCAACAGCCATTATAACTATCTTGTTAATAGTTAGTTTAATATGTTTATTATGCACCCCATACCCATCCTGTGGGCGGTAGTCAAAGATTACAGAGGTACATAATTGGTCCAGGGACTGGACTCCAAAGTTTTGAAGCTGGCAAATTAAGAGGAAAATGTATAGATCAATCGACCGACTTTTCCCTGTATTCCTTTAGCACTGCAATTTGTGCGCTAATTACGCCATGGTCACACTTGTCGAGAGCTTTTGCAAAGTCTGTATATATACATCTGCATTTCTTTTTGGCTTCTAGTGCATTAGTACCCTTGTCGTATTGCCCAATAGTTGGACAGACAAGGAGCCGACGACCTGTTCCCTAAACCCATGTTGCCTCTGGGTTGTAACTGATTGGTTTCCTAGATGCGTGGTGGATCTTGCTTCTTAGGACCCTTTCAAAAGATTTTGTATATGAATAGGGATGTTAGTGCTTATGGTCTGTTGTTCTTTGCTGTTGCTTACTGCCCTCCTTTGTGGATGGGGGCTATATTCTTGTTTTTTCAGTGTGGGTGGCCCAGGGGAATCTGAGTAGAGTGTTTCCAGTCTTTTGTGTCTCCTCTTGTGACAGTGAATCTGCTGGATAGTACAGCTGTTTGGCTTTCTTTGTTACTTTGGTGGAACTGATGATAGTGTATAAGAATACAGTGGACCCCCGCTAACGATTACCTCCGAATGCGACCAATTTAATGTAAGTGTTATTTATGTAAGTGCGTTTGTACGTTATGTTTGGGGGTCTGAAATGGACTAATCTACTTCACAATATTCCTTATGAATAAATATCTGTCATTACTGGCACCTAACATACTTCGGAGTGAAAAAATCTCGTTCACTGGGGGGTCCACTGTACATCTTTATGTACAACCCTGTTTAATATTGCTTTTCATATTGGTGTTTCTTGTCAATGGATTTAGAATGCTGCTGGTTAGCATGGGTCACCGAGCCGTTTATTTTCGTGATCTGTTTCATTTTTATAGACAATGCTTGTTGTATAGTCCTAAGTAATTTGTTAAGAAAAATGTCTGTCCAATCAATCATACCATTGGCCTTGGAGAAATTCTGTAGGCCAGTCAACAGTTCCTCTAAGTCTCTGTGAACTTCCTTATTGAGGCCTCACATGGAGTCTAACATAAACTTTGTTGTTATTCCAGTGTGGTTTACTATGTTTGTTAAGAGTAAGGTAGGTAGTGTGACCCTGTAGGCTGTCTGTGATTATCCCCTGATTTAAACCCTTAAATGGTCCAAACGCATATATACGTTTTTTCAACATCTGAAAGTATGTAAAAAATGTAGATCTTCTTTTTTTTTGTTTTTATACATTAAAACGTGTAAAAAAAACTTTATGTACATTATTTTTATTAATATTTGAAAATATGTAAAAAAAAATTAGATCTACTTTTGTAGCACTACGAATTTGAACGTCGATCTGTTTGGGACCGTTTAGGGTTATGGGGCTAGTATATTGGTCCATATGTGGTCTATTAATGGTTGACTTGTCTCTGTGTGCCTGGTTGGTTTAGTTATTGTTGGTAGAAATGTGTTTGTTCATATTGTCGATGAAATCAGTTTAAGGTGATCATCTAGTAGCCAAGGTTTATATTGAAGTCCTCCAGCTAAGAAAGGTGGTGCCTGTTCATTTGTCTTTTGTTATTAGTGCCTTTATGGTGAGTAATATGGCCCTTGGGGAATGGGAGGTCAATCAGGTTAATCAAGGAAAGTTAATTACACTTCCCTGATGTAAAAGCCTTTCACCAGCTCCAAGGAACCTCCCTTGAGTGGTAACCCCCAAACGTGCACTTCTTGCTCTTTCCACAGCTCATCTACCCTTAACCGTCACCTATGGTATAGTTTTGTGCTTGTGGGTTCAGACCACAGGGGGCTGGAATGGCGACGCGTGAGTCAGCGGGTGATAAAACCTTAGGGAGAAGCAGAGCCGAGGATCTCTCTCGAAGCTGCTGTGAAACTGATTACAAATCTTGAGACTGGGGGTGGGGTCCGTGTAGGCGCCTCGGGCACTCGCTCACACAATCAGCTATTTAAAAGTTTGTAGCCTTGCTTACAGAGGACATAAAATTATTCACTCACATTGATTGTG